ATCCTGACTCAGCTCCTTCGGGAGCGTTTGCGTGAGGGGCGTTCGCTCGGCGGCCGAGGGGCAGGGGCACGCCCCGCAGCGCGGCGGAAAGACCCGGGGTTTCCGTCTTCGTGAGCAGAGGGTTTGCTGTAGCGTCGGTTTCTGTCCAACTGACGCGATACGGCCGCTTTTAAAATTTAGGCTTGATATATGTTGGACGTGAAGCGAAACCTAAAGCTGTTCTGGCAGGCTGCTGTGGAAGTGGCTGACCGTGTGCTCCCGCTCCCGCACTGGTGCCGCAGGAGCCGTCCCGGGGAGGCTGCCTTTCAGAAAGGATATTTTTATCTCCAAAATCTAGATCAGGAGATCCGCAGTACAGGCTAGATCTAGTATATGCAGAATTTTTTAGCGCCTTAGTGCTGAGCTCATGCGAGCTGAATAACACTTCTTACGTCTTTCCGTGCAAGCGTTTCCACGGCTGGAGTTGTTGAATTCATGCAGCGTTTCCAAGATGTGCAGGACTGACCCATTCCATCATGGCAAACTTTTAGATGCATGAATAGGCTGGAAGCAATGACTCCCTTACTTTGTCTGTTTCAACTGCTAAATTTCTCAGTTATCAAACTAATTTGAATGTTATCTGGAGAATGTCTTCAACAGATTCGTATGAGCTATGATATAATTTTAATTCTCACAAATTTTAATACCAGGACAACTGTTAGATAATTTTGTACCCTCCCTCTGTAACGCTGCAGCATTAGGTTTAAAAATGGTTTAGGACCCCATATTCTGACTTTTTTTTTGCTTTTATTATACATTGTTAATGGGTTTAACAAAATGTAACGGTATCATCTGGCTACTGAGAGGAATTTGCTTCAATATTCCTTCAAGTCCTAGTATCTGGGTTTCAGAGTACCGTCAGTACTATTCTGTCTTTTCCCAGGCTTTTATGCTTACCTCTACTCTTACCTGTGAAAAGGGTATGCAACAAAAACATAGAAAGAGAAAGGTTTTTACCAAACTTGCTGAAACAGAAGAAACAGAAGTTTTCGGTTTTGCTGTTGCTACGGAGATACAGATATTGCCAATCTGCAGTCTGGGCAAAATACCAGTTTTATCAAGTAGTGACATAATTGTACAGGATATAAACATTTCTTTTTAAAGGACTATATTGTATTCTACAGAGCTCGCTATTTTTTTCTGCCTCCCCATTTGAGAGGAACTTTTCTGTGCTGTTACATTTGATTTTTTGATTTATTTCATGTCCTTGTCCTGCAGTTGAAATGATGTTGTAACATATTTAAAGATCCTTATAAATCTGAGGGATTTCAGTCAAACACCTATGAAACAAAGAGCTACAGCAGAAACTGCTTCAAAATTTCATATTTTAATTATTTCTAGTAAAACATTTTAATTTTGCTGTATCTTCACAACACCTGAAATTCCTAGTTTGTGAATACACCGTAAAATTTGGAAAGGATGATGAGGAGAAAGGATATGCATTATTGTGATGTGCATACATTTATTTATATTTTTATCTTTCTGCCAGTGTAAATGTTTACAATATTTCTATGCTTTACTGTGGTTATTACCATTTTCTGTTATTGAAAAATGTTGTTTGTTAGGAATAGCCAAATTAGTATCAAACCCAGTAAGATAATAGTCCTTTCCAATCAAGATCCTATCAGAATGTGAAACACTTCCAGTAAAAATAGCTCCAATGAATTGATTCAATTAAATTTGTGTGATAGGGCTTGCTACCCAGTGAAGGTGAGAGATCACAAGGAAGGTATTCTTCTGAATTGTCATCTGTTAACAGTCTCTGATAATTTGATCAACTATTTTTGGCAAAGCTTCCGTTTAGCAGATTTCTACTTAATAGTTAAACGAGGCTTTGGGTTGTTAGTCTTTTCTTACAGTGATAATATCTACCTCCTCCTGTGGATGTGGATAGTTTCTTATATTTACAGCTTTGGAAGGAACAGTTTGTTTCTGCTAAAACTGTGAGTGGCACCATAGCCATGGGAAGTAAAGTAGTTACTTACATTCCATAAAACAATTGCATGTTAAAATACATAGTTATATTTGTGTAACTGCACAGCTGTGATTTAAATTGCAATAATTTTTAGGGGTTTTTTTTTGTTTGCATAAGTGTACATCTTCTAAGCTCTGTCTCTCTCCCTTTCCCTCCTTTTTTTCTGTTTCCCTCCTTTTTTTCCTAAAGTTTGATGCCTTTCATTTCCCAAAAAGTGGTGCTGGGATTTTTAAGCTGTTCTAGGTTCTTCACCTTGTTTTCCTCTAGTCTTCCATAAGATTTGTAGATCAAAGATCCATATAGATACAGAACCACCAAAAAAGTAGAGACAGGCCTTGGAAGCGAGGGTCATAAAACCAGAATTGAACAAATGTCAGGAAATGTATTTTTAAAATAGTGGTTTATCTAATATGCATAAGAGCTGTTGCAGTAACATTGACCCTTAGCTGAACTGTCTGGTTTCATGTAAGCCATGTTCTCCAGCATAAGGGATATTAGTTTATAATCTTTGGGATTATTTTCTATTAATAGTTTACGTTATTTAAAATGGCATTTTAATGACATTTCCCAAATTGCAAGCTAAATAAATTTAACAGAGTCCTTCCATCCATTTGAAAAGTGAGAGGAGCAGAATCTGACAATGAAAAGTGACAAATTCATATGGCAGTTACATTTTCTGTCTATTTGCTTTTTGATCAGAGGCTCGTTGCTGGTATTGAAATAAGCCTGTAGACCTAGGATATATCCACAAAAGGGCTGGCTTTGATTTGGAGTTATTCAAGAAATTTGGGACACCTTTTGTGCATCTTGCAAAACAGGGGAAGAACCTACCCCGAAAAGATTGCTATAAATCTTTCTTTTTCAGGAATGTTTCCCTCTTACATAATTCAGAAGGTTTTTTTAAGGTTGGAGAATGCTACTGTTTCTACATCTTTTTTGGGCTCAAGCAAGACTAGGTTTGTGATGGAGAAGATTATGTAAGAATCTAAAACATCGGATTTCATGAAGGTCATTTAGAAGCACTGATACTGGAATCTCTTCAATGGTAGTTACTGTATGGGGGGGGGGGGGAAGAAAACAACCCTATTGTTGCGGTGACACAATGGGAAATGGTTGGATAAAAGACGATTTTTTTAAAGAGTCTTGAAGCAACACGTATTGGAGCTATATTACTCCTCTGCTCCTACAGTCCACCCAAAAGTTCATCTTAGAAAATTTTGATTTCAATCCACTTTACTTTCTGGTGCCTTTTTGTTACAGTTTCTCTGTTAACCTCTGTTGCTCTAGAGTTCAATGCTGCTGTAGCAGCCCAGTGGAGAGAAGACAAAGTTGGGACCAACAAAGGGAAACAAGAAAGCTTCTCTAACTTTACCTACTTGGACATTTTTTCTTCATAGCTCTTGTATACTTTAGACCTGACCTTTTCTTTCTTGACTTTCAGTCCCCAAGTGATTCCAAATAACTGTGCAAGAGCATGGGCTTTCTTTTCTGGGGGACCGTTCACTGGAAACAACATAGAAGGCATCTTTCATGACCGAGTAAAATTGCTTACCCGATGCTTACAGTGTAACCTTTTTTCAAAGGCATCGCTTCTGCATACCTTAAACTCTTTTTCCAGTCTGCGTGGTAAGCGTGGCAAAGTGTGAATATCATGCAAAATGTGTTTGTGACTTTTAACTTACACTTAGAGATATGTTTGCCTCTCTGTAGTAGGGAAGAAAAAGAAGAAAAAAAAAAAACCAGCACAGGAGTATTTGCCTAAGAATTTTTTTAAATGTCCCCCAAAATATTTCCGGTCAATGAAATTTTGCCTAGCAGCACTGTTATCTTCCTGGTCTATGGAAATAAAGTGTACATACTCTCACTCTCTGTCAGTTCTCCTAAAAGCCAATTTCATCCAAACTTAATGTAGTTATAAAGGTTGCTTAGATTTTTGATGAAAGTGTAGAGAGATGGAAATTAATATGTCTATGGAGAGCACGGTGGCAGTAATTTGAGTACTTAAAAAGACCACCATTAATGATGATGAGCTGTCAAACTGTTTTTTCTAATCAGGCCCTAGGTATTTAAAAATTGTTATATCCTTAAAACTAGATATTGGGGTTTTTTCTTCAACTGAATTGCAGAATGCTTTAAAATTAAAAAAAGAAATTACCAATCTGTGATTTTTAGAAGTGTATGTGAATTGCTCTTAAGTGTTTTTTCCTGAATGTATCTCCATTTCTGAATATGAATCCCAAACAGTATTAACTGGTGAACTTTTAAGTAGGACACTGAATAGAGGCATAGCTGCATATTATACACTACTTTGTTTTGCAGTTTGTGGATGACTGTGGCGTGATCGCATCTCTGAGCTTTGAGATGGTATTGCTGTATATAGTCCAGTACATTACACTGCTAACTCACTGCACCTTCTCTTTTTCAGATCTGCATGGTGTGGGGGAAGTCTTCTTGTTACAGTTAATACCGACTTGGTCATGGCATTGCTATATGCATTTGTTTTTCAAAATTAAGAAGTTTTTTTATAGAGAATTTCATGGCTTCCCTATAGCTTTGAGGAAGTAATCATTACTGCCATTAGAGTAGTCAATAACAATGATACTGACTAGATAGAAATGTACTGGTGGGCATGCATGTCTCTCACTCAAAATTGGTTAAAATGTGGAGGAGTTCAAAACTGAGTCATAACTTGGCACTGCAGAAGAAGCTTCCTCCCCCACCCTTCTCACTCCTAATTCCTGTCTTGCCAAAACCACCACAACAATAGAAGCCTGCAGGAAAGGTAGGATAGGGAGTCTTTATTCAGAAGTTTACTTAGTATAAAATACTTGAGTTGAAACTCTTGAAATATATATGTCTGTTCAGTTTGAGTGTAATTAGTTTTATGCGTTAAATGAGCATCAGGAGGCTTTGCTGACTCCACTAAGGATGCAGTTAAGTTACCTTTACAGTACAGAGCATTTGAAAATAGCACTGTTGGTTTAAGGAGTCTTGTTCCTGCCCATGCCTGTATAGTATGCTGCTTCTGCAGCTGTGCTGTAGAATGGTTTGTATTGAGATGCTGTGAAGCATATTTGTTTTGAAAGTATCCATATTTAAGAGTCACTCCCCCCCTCCTTCTCTCAAGTACTGAAAATGTAGATCAATTTGTAGTGAGTGTCATAAAAAGTAGAACTGGCACAACTGACGGAGCAGTGTGCTCGCGTGCAGGATCTGGGATGAGCAGGCAGAGTGAGAGCTTCTTAAGTTGGTACGGTTGAAGTCTGGGTGTTGTGAAAACTGTCACCTCAGGCTCTAGTATAGCTCCATTAATACAGATAAGGATTGTTGCAAAAACCACAATAAATGGCTGAAAATAAATGTTACTTTCAAAGTTGAGGACATATAAAACTTGCTTTGAAATCAAAAACTGAAGAACAAGGAGCAGAAAAGAAAATAAAAATGGATTATGATGAAAATGGGGAAGGCAAGAGAAAAATATTTTTTTACCATGTTTCTTGAGGTTCAAACTATCTTCTTCTGAACAAGAATGAAATTCTGTAAGTGCAGGTGTAACTAAACACAGATAACATGGGTTGATTGAGTAGTTACATCTTGACTGCTTTTTACAGTGGCTTGATTCAGCCTTTCCAATTTCAAATTTTACGTCATTTAAATTGATAGCTTTTCTGGCATAATAATGAAGTAATGTGATGCTGAATAGCGATTACCCCCATTCACAGGAAAATCAGCCTGTCCAAGTTACAGCAAAGATTTAACAGTGTATAAAAATTCATTGTTTTATAGTATGTTTGGATTATTCTTGCATTAGGATGAAATGACAGTGTTCTCGTAATAGGATAAAGCTTGTACTTCTGATTCTTCGGCAGGGATTTTGGGAATAAAAGGAGCATTGAGCAAAATGTCAAGCAAAAATCATGTTTAGGATTACAATGAGAAATTGATGTTGGATGCTTTTGAGTACTTGTTTTTCTACAGCTTTATTAAAATAATTTACAGAAGAGGAAAATGATTAGAAAATAATTAGCTCACTTCTACACAGAATCTGTGGGGATTTTTATTTTCTTTTTGTTTTTAAGGCTTTATGCCTAAGACCAGTAATGATGATTGTAGTTCCAGGCTGTTTCTGGATGTGTTGCTCTGACTGAACTTGAAAACATCAAGGTGGTTTTCTGGTTCTTTGTTTGTTTGATTTATACAAACTACTGTCCTGCTATAGAGGACCAGTAGCTACTCATATAATTTAGGATTGTCCTGTGCTTTTGCTTTAGGTTTTCAGTCAAGACTCTGATTGACCGTTCCTGTTTTGAGACTATAGATGATACTTCCCCTGAATTTAATAATTTTGCAGCCATTCTGGAGCAGATTCTAAGTCATCGACTGAAAGGTAAGTTAAATAACTTCATTACTGATGGTGGTTTTGCCATGAGAATTTGTTTATATGAAACCAGTGTACTTCTGTAGAAACTCCTTGATGCACGATGAAAGTATTGGCTTTCTTTGTGTGTCAGTCCCTTTGCTCTTGCCTTCGTGATTGTTTGCATTACTGTGGAAAAGTCAAGGAAACGGTTTTTGTGAGACAAGTTTCCAGTTTTCTTGTTGGAAGCTTTCTTGGCTGGTAATTAAGCAAGTGGATGTTGCCATGGTGCTGAGCTCTGTCTGCTTTTCTGCTTTATGATAAGGCTGTGTCCTAAGAGTCTGAGTCTGAAAGACAATTGTAATGTGTTCTGCTTTAATAGGAGCTGTAGAGAGCGCATCTTGTGGTGCTGCTCCTTTTTCTTTCTCCCTTCCCCTTGTGTTGCCTTCTTTTCCAGATACTGTGTTTAGGTCCTTCTGTTCCCATCCCCCCACCACCCTAGTGAAGCTGTTTTTTGCTACTGGACTGTAATGGATCTAGATTAAATTGCTTTTTAGAAAGGTCAGTTGTTGATATTCCTCTTGTATTGGAGTCAGATGTTGTTCTAATTCAAGATAATGTCTGTTTGCATTTTCTAATTGTTCTAGAGGAAGCTGCTTTGCTGAAAGAACAGAGCGTGCCTTAGCAGTAACAGTCGCTAGTAAAGGACTTTGAAAGCTTCTCATTTCTCAGTTTTATGTACAGTTTCTGAAATTATTTGAGGATTATGAAGGACATCATAATCATCTAAATATAGATGTGTAATATGACAATCTACTCCTTTTTGTACTTTAGCTTTTTCATATTCATAACTAAGCTTTGTGAACAATATTGTGTGTAGGCTGACATTTGAGTAGCACAATTGCTACCTGCTGTCATTCTGTCAGAGAAGGGGGGAGAAATCACACAGTGGGGTAGAAACGTAGTGTTTGTCACATTGTGACAAAGATTTTTGGAGTGATTATGGGAACTTAGCAACTTAAATTGCACTGTTTTCTCCTTCTCCCCGAGCTTCAATGATGTCTGAGCAAAAATCATTATTTCCCACCCCCCCAACATTCTTTTGCTTCACAGTCTGTTATTCAGGACGTGCAGTACAGAGAAGAACCTTGACAGGCTGGCAAATGGGTTATAGGCAAATGGAATTTGCAAGTAAAAAATTATTTCAAATAAGAAATAGAGAAAATCAAAAAGCAAAATTGCTGTTTCACTCTTCCCCTTGTCATTACCAGTACGATTTTCTAAGTTTGCAGAGTTAAATAAAAATACGGAAGAAGGCAGCGGCTTGTGCATCATATTGCAAACAGAAAATATTTTGGTAATAAGCTAGATCACTGTGAGTAATTATTTTATTCTTTAAAAACTTAAAAGGGAAATTGAGATAATAAATATACCATGACAATTCAAATTTTAAGAAGATATATATTACACAACACAGGGCTTGAAAGAAATTGCATTTTATTGATGGAAATGACTGATATATTCTGAATGCATACTTCATGTCAGTAGGAGCACACTGAAAGCAGACTGGTGATTGCAATGGGTTGTATAAAATGTTTTAAAGCAGGCAGAACACACATGATATGTTTGTCTGTGGTAAAATACATGGCTTCATTGTATCAAAGTTGTCAGGGTAATCCCATAGCAGTGTAGTTAAAGGGATTATCCAGATTTGAGAGTTTAAGTATATAGACCTTTACTTTCTTAAGGCCATGACAAATAACAATGCTTAATCTTTAACTTCCTTCAGAAGTACTGGGTGAGGAAGGAAGAATTAAACAAAACCAAGAAAAAGTGTTTCATTTGCTTTGTAAGGGACTAAATTTGCTTTCATTAGAATACTTTTACTGGCAACTGTCTGTTCTGACACTAAATATAATATGTTTTTAAGGAGCAAAGCATAGTCTTGACGGAATATAGTGACTGTTGCTGCTTATTGGTTTTGTGTTCAGATAGGATCCAGACAAAACAAATTGGAAGGAAGAAGGATAGCCATTTTAAGTGGAAAAATGTTCAGCTACAGGAATTAGAATTTTATGATTTTCATGAAACCATTGCAGTTAAGAATTCTGAAAGAATAGTTCTCCAAGCTTCATACTCCTGGCTGTTCTGCTAAAAAGGCCAGTGATAACAATATGAGCACCATTTTAAAATTGATTTTTGATAGGTAATTGATCTGATGTTGCCAGCTCCGAATAACAAAAGGGTCGTGAAACAACATTCATAGTGACTTGGGTCGTTTTCTTGGTTTGTTTTTTCTTTTCAGAATCATGGAATATTTTAGTTTGGAAAGTACTTTAGAAAGTCATCCAGTCCAGCCTCTTGCTCAAAGCAGGGCTGTCTCAGATTGCTCACAGCGTATTCCAGTTGGGTGCTGAAAATCTCTATGACATTTCTGAAACTTAGTGCGCTTTGCTACAGAATGTTTCCCCATACACCTACTCTCACTTTGTGTTTACCTTTCCCTGATATTGGCCATGGTGTTCACCAGATCCTGTGGTGAGCCAGACCAGGAAGTCAAGGAGGCAGAACACTAATGACTTTCCCCATGGATGCACTTCTTTAACCCAGCTGCTCATTTTCTTAAGAGTTTTAGATGTGGGTGTTTGCTTAGTAATAGATTGAGGTTGTCATAAATGTATCAGCTCACACAACAGCGATCAGTGAACACTGCTTGAATGCGGGTATCTGTTCATGTGATACAGAAGACTTAGCACATAGATACCAAAACAGTTTCAAAAAAGGTAACATAATATGCTATGGCCAAAAGGCTACATCTGTACTACCTTACAGTTACATGTACACCAATGCCAGTACGCAGCAGCCAGGAATAGGCCACTGTTGTTAGAAAAAGCAGTCTGGCTCACAGTCTATTGAATTGCCCTAAAGAAGAGAGAGAGAATTTGAGTAAGCTGTATTAACTGTCTTTTCAGGGATTGCAAGTCATTCACTGCCTTCTGCTCTAGAAAGTGGAGAGGTACTTATCCCTGTACTGTGTAATACTGTATGTGTAGTATAGCTGGTACTACCTAGGAGTGCTGGATTTGTGATGAATGCAGAGTAGACCAAATATTGTAATAAGGAGGATATAAAGCATATGTTCTTCCTGTCGTTAAAGTAAGCTGTGTGGCGTGCCTGCTGGCAAGATATGATACTACTGGACAGGACAATTAAAGATCTTGAAAAGGTAGGAGAGAAAGAGTAACAGAAAAAAACACGAGTGATTAATTATGCTTTTGTTCCTTCTCAGGAATAAAAGAATTTGCATGATGTTATAATACAGCAGAGAGTAAGTGGTATTCTGAGTGGATACAGAGACAATGTGTTTGAAGGTCTCTGGACCAAGTAAGACCTGTAGTCCTGAAAGTGATATTACAAATTTGTATTCAAATATATGTGTGTTTGATAATCTTTAAAGCAAACTGGGTAATTTCAGGAGCCATCTTTTTCCCCAGATAGTTGTCTGAAATTTGTTCCTTTCTTAACTGTTCTGTGCTGTGGAGATTAAGCCATATCTTGTAGTTGTCTTGGTGGTTTCTTGTTTTCACTGCTGGCCACAGAGTTTTCAGATTTTTTCACAGATTTTTTTATATTTCCTGTAAGTGTCCTTTTTATCAGACCAGCTAAGTAAATATAGTTAGTCCAGAAATGGTAGGGGCATCAAAAAGCATTCAGCTACAGAAGTTGGGATTTAATCACAGGTATATCCTAGCTGATATAAAACCTGATGTCAATTCAAAGTGATGCATATATTGTCTTTACTATATCACAAAGTTGTATGGTTTTCTTCCATCTTCTGTCACTTTAAACGAGTTTTACCTGAGATAGTACTGAAAAACATTAACAACTGTTCTAGATTTCTATGGCAATCATCTCAAACATGTTTCTGAGAACTACTGTCACATGTCTGTATTTGTTGACTTACTATGTTTTCATTGTTATATCTTTTACAGCAAAATGCATGCTTAGAAGTAGTTTTGGTGTACAAATTAAGTTCTGTCACTGACAACGTATATAGTACATCTTGCTTGTGATTTCTGTAATTTTTGCATGTCATAGTTACTGTAAGTGTGCTTGTCATCTGTAGATTTATTTGCATTTACCACCATAATGACACAAAACGGTATGCTGTACTGTGCTATTTTGACACTTTTGCAACTTTGTGCACCTTTTTTCATGTAGGTGCATTTAAAAGGTATTATAAACACATCTAAAGCTTCTGCTAGAGTTGTCCATGGAAGCTACTTGTCTCTATCTGATCTATGTTATTCCTGATTTTTAGTGGCTGTGGAGTTCATTTGCTTGCTTTTCTTTTTTCTTTTAGTAAACTTACTCTAAGTAGTAGGCTTCTAGAGTGATCAGAGCTGCTTGAGTGGAAAGATAAATATAATAATTCTCTTCCTTTCCTCATTCTATAAAATGTTTTAGTTTCATGCATCATCGGTAGTCTGGTGGTAGTAATGGTAAATGGCTGTACTAGTGATGTCACTAGTAAATGTTGTTCAGTTTTTGCACTTCTTCACAGTGTGTTGGGTTTGCATGGCAGGGTTTTGGTAGCACAGGGGCTACAGGGTGGCTTCTGTGAGAAGCTGCTGGAAGCTTCCCCTGTGTCCTGTGTTCCCACTGTGAGCCAGTGCCAGCCAGCTCCAAGACAGACCTGCTGCTGGTCAAGGCCAAGCCCATCAGCAGCCGTGGTAGCACCTCTGTGATAACGTGTTTAAGAAGGGGAAAAAAACCCTGTGTAATGGTAGACACTGTGAGAGAAACGGCTCTGCAGACCAAGGTCAGTGAAGAAGGAAGGGAGGAGGTGCTCCAGGTGCCGGAGCAGAGATTCTTCTGTGGCCCGTGGAGAAGACCATGGTGAGGTAGGCTGTCCCCCTGCAGCCCATGGAGGTCCATGGTAGAGCAGATACCCACCTGCAGCCTGGGAAGGACCCCATGCCAGAGCAGGTGGATGTTCCTGAAGGAGGCTGTGACCCCGTGGAGAACCC